AGGGCGTGCCCCTTGGAGTTTTATTTCTGGCTTAATGAGTTTGCTGCACTCCCTTGTGGCTCGGAAGGCTCAATTTCTCCCACCCACCCCCAATTACCCCTCCAGCCTTAAGGGTGCAGGTTGGGGGGTGGGGGGGGTGATCCAGCGCACGCCACGCTGTCCCAAGGTCAGGCTACAGTTTGTCGACACAACCGCATGCTTGTCATCATGTTTAAACTTGGCTGTCTTGACGCATAGCATGGGGTGGCGCGTGGCGGAAAGACTTAAAAAACCGGGTAGTTCAGACAGGGTTAAATGGGATACAAACCCTTTCTTTAGCGTCTGTATTGTTCTAGCAGCACCCTCCCCATTCTCTTCAGCATCATTCTCAAAGAATGGGCCAACAAATTGGTGGTTTCCAAAGAGAAGGAAGGGTGAAGAGAATGGGGAAGGCCCCCCAGCCGTCCCCTTAGCCTTTCAGACTTTTAGGGTTTAGTGGTAGTTTGCATTTAACGCACTAAAAGCGAATCTTTTGGTAAGGGATCTGAGGGCAGCCCAGTTTAGTGGCTGTACAGTGGCGACGCTGACAGGTTCCATCTCAACTTTGTGGATGCCTTGGAGGATGTGACTCACGCGGAGCAGCAGATTTTGCTCCGAGACCCGGACATGGGCTGCTGAGATGCAACTCAGGTTGTCTTGGCCGCTTGGGCGGGGGGGCGGGCGGGGGAGGGAGGGGGAGGGGGAGGGGGAGGGGGGAGGGGGGAGGGGGAGTCGCAGGGGGGGGGGGGTTCCTGTCAACTCAGACAGGCCACCTCAAGTAGCGGCAGTTTTATGCGTTTCCTTGTAAAATCACGCCTTTTCCGGCTAGTCTTGAACAACACACATGAGCCAAAACAGTTGTGGGGGCTTTCTTGATTTGGTATGTTTTGTGTCGCCCATGCAAACCCTGGCAAGTACATGAGAAGTGATAGAATGGTTACTTGTAGTTACATTTGTGTCAGCAACTACCCTTCAAAACATCGTGCTTAGTTTGAAACAACGCCAAATGTAGTTTGTTTGTAGGGAAGCAGGAGGCATGCGCTTTTGCTAGACTGGTCCTACCCCCCGTTGTTCGGTGGCCCCTTCATCCTTTTCAATTTCACCAGATCATTTTTGGGCTGGGTAATTCTTAGAGAGGGACAAAGGCAACCTGCAAGCATCTGCAGCCTTATGACTAGGAGCCCGGCCGCAAGAACCAGGCAAACTCACATAATCGTCTTCCCAACCACTTCCGGGGCGCGACATAGCCCTGCGTACTGGCCATAAAAGGCGGTGCTCGCCTATCTTCTGCCTGGTGGGGGATGGGTGGTCACGGAGTCTCAGCGTGGCATCTCAGGTTTGGAGGAGGTCGCCATGCGCATTTGAATCAACACGCCCTGCGGGGTCCTCTTGGACTTGGCCAAGGGGAATCCCGAATCGGCAGACAAAGAAGCATGGAGCGAACCCTTCACTTCCTTCCAGTCCAGGTCACCATGCTCCCCCCCTCCCCCCCCAAAAAACCATAAATAGAACATGTCACGCTGAGCGTGCGCATTTTTGGTGATTACAGCGATTCTTTCAGGAAACACATGATTGTTTTGTATTTCCGTGGGCAAGTGTGAAAACCTCGAGAAAAAAAGCAAAAACATCAACGGCTATGTCAGCTGTCCTGACTTTGGGAAGGGTCTTGTTTTGTTGTTTCTTCGTTTTTGTTCTTTCTGTTTTTTATAGTTGTTTTTTCCTCGAGGATGTTTGCAATTCTTTGGAAAAGTGTCAAAAGCCTCGAGAAAACCAAATACAAAAAACATACGAAAACACAAAGAGCAAGGCTATGTCAGCTGTCCTGACTTGGGGGGGGGGGGGTAGTCTTGGTTTTTCAATGTTTTTGTTTTTGGGTTTTCTCGTTGTTTTGTTTCCATTTCTTTGAACAAGTGTGAAACAACTTGAGAAAACCAGCAAAAACACCCACAACAAGGACTCCATCAGCTGTCCTGACTGGTGACTGGGGGCGGGGGGGGGGGGTAATATGTTTGTTTTGGTTTTCTCGAGTTGTTTTTTGTACTGTACCGTGTCCAGCCTGTTTGCAAGAGCTTCTGTGATCAAGTGCGCTGGTGTAGTTCACCTCCAAGCCCTAGTGCAGTAAGTTAGAGATGGCTTCCTTTGGTTGGACCCGTTCCTTGCTAAATGATTCTTAATTTTAGTAAGACTTATACAAGTAGAACTTTATATATATATATATATTAAGTAGAGTTCATAAGAAAGAAAGATGCCCCAAAAGTGTTAAACACACGTTGTTTAAATGCCTATTGATTTGCAAAGACAATTTGATTGGAAAGGAGATCCTGTGCAGCATTTATTTTGAAATATATTGCCCATTGTTTAAATTATACATTCAACTCAAAACTATGGGTGGATTCTGTCCTTATTAAGTTCTATTTCATGTGAGATGGATATGAAACAGAACTTGATAAATATATCAAGTAGAATCCATACGGAAAGAAACTAGAGGTCCCGAGCATGTTTCATGCATGTTGTTTAGGCTTACTGATTTGTAAGGGCAGTTCTATTGGAAAGGAACTCCCGTGTAGTTTGAATTTGGAAAGGAACTCCACCAACGGCTACTCTCTAAAATTCGGTTTGAACTTGAATAGGATTTAAATGGGATTCAAGAAGATACTTGATCAGAATCCTACTGGAAATCACACCTTACGTTTAGAACTTAGAGGGGAATCCTTTCCCAATTGAACATGACAACTAAGTTAAGAGTTGAAGCATAATTTGATAAGGAATGAATCCAAACACCTCTCCTATGCTATAATGGAATTTAAATTGAAATGATTCCATTTAGAATGATAATTTGCACAGCATGCTCTTTCCAATCGAATTTCTTACGCTTCAGCTAAGATTTAAGCAAACATAGTTTAACTTGAGTTTCAACTCAAACCGTGAAACAAACGAATGCTCACAGCGTCCCGCTCTCAACAAAAAAACAGAGGACCTTGTACAAGAATGACATACAATGACCCGCATTTTGGGGGGAGGCCAGTATGTTGCGGCCTGGAGTCATGTTCGTTCAATTAGTCAGCATCAGCCAGGGGCTGAGCAGAAAGACACTGGCCCGGTCGGATTACGAAGCCTCTAACAACTCACGTGCTGCCATCAGCAAACAAAACAACTCGTCTTTTGACAAATGTCCAGCTTTGGGGGGCCTCCCACCTTCTTCCCCTTAAAGCGGGGGGGGGGGGGGGGTTGGGGTTTGGCCAATGGATGGCATTCTGTCAGAAATTTAGACCCAGCCGGCAAGCCCCAGTTGAGTCCAAGATCTTTTCCGTCACAGGGCAATGACCCGTTCCTGCAGTGGCTCTTTCGGGACGCCACGGCGGCCTTGTTCGTTGAGGTGTTGGACTTACCACCGGGCCACGGTGCTCTTTGGGGCTTTCGGACGTTAGCTTCGCAAGTTCACTTTGGTGCATTTTGCTTGGATGTTAGGACTTTAACTTTTTGTCAACTACTGGGTTTTCCGTATTAAACCACTAAACAATATTCACTTTTAGCAGGGGGGCAGAGAACAACCGAGTTCAGGGCTCTAGGAACAAGGCCGCCTGACATGGCTTCGTTTGCATCCGCGCTGCGGCGGCCGGCGCGGGAAGGCGAAGCTTTGCCAGTGAGGCTTCGAGGGGCTTCGAGATGGTTTCCTGCCAGGGCCACAGGGCAACCCTTTTGTTCAGCACGGCAACGACTCAGCTTAAGGCAGTTCATGGGAACCCAGTGTGTTTTATAGCCCTCTGTTTTTGTTATTCAGGCATAGGGGTCCCAGTTTGGATGGTGTTCAGAAGGAATCTTGAAAAGAGAGAGTAAGTGTTCGAACGTTCCGTTTTCATAGGGGCCGGTAGGCCAATTTGGAATACGCTGTATTGGAAAACGTGCTCTGGCGTTGTAGGGCATGAGCACGGACGGACCTTCTGAGTGTCAGTTTGTCACTGCTGGCATGTCAATGTAGCACTCGAACGAACCGTTGCCATTTTTTTACATTTACTGGGGATTGGTATCTAGGAAGGAGCTCACCCTGAGGGGGGGGGGGTGGTCCAAGGTGGGTTTTTCAGGCTCCCAAAAAAACCCCAAAAAACAACGTAAGGAACCCCTGAAGGTTTCCATAACTTACATGGGAAGTGGTTTTGTAGATCACGCCCTGGAAGCAGCGTATCTTTTCGGCTCCTGATGGAGCAGGTTTCACCGATTAGTCCGAGCCTTGTGTCCAAAGGTCGCAAGGCAGAGTTGCAACTTGCTACTTGATATTGGGGACAAAGCCACGAACGTCCGACAAAAAAAACACATGTAAAAGAAGGGGCGCCGCGCTTGCAAGCATGAGTTGGGCATTTCCTTCGAAACCCTTTCTTTTGCAGGCTATCCTGGAAGGAGGGTTCCTTGACAACATGGACCCATTTCGGATTTCGTTCCAGCCACATCCAAACCTGCCGCAAAGCCTTTCAAGATAGCCAAGCCATCAACCGCCTCCAAGGTCCCCCCCAAAAGCCAGCGGAACCAAAAGGAAGCCTCAAGCCCGTTTGAGGGTTGCCATGTTCCATCTTGAAGAGTTCCGGGTTCCACCTCATACCCTGCGCCACGGTCAAAAGCACCTGTACGGAAACGGGATGAACCGGGTACACTCCCAAAACTCCAACCTACATGGAGGTCAAAAACCTGCTTTGGGAGTGTATCTTCCAAGAACAGATCAAATCCGTGTGAAAAACCTGATTTGAGTTGCATACCTTCCAAAACCAGAATTGCGAATGGAGGTCCAACAACTCACTTCCTAAGTTCATGGACTTGCTTTTCGGGAAGGCCATTTTAGTGGTATACACAAAGTTTACCGGGAGTCTCCATGACCCTTCTAAAGTGGGATCATGACCCCTTAATTTTGGGTAATGACCCCATTTTTTAGGGGTCATGGAGACTCCAGGTCGACATTTTCTAACCAACCAACGGGTCCTCGTAACACTGAGGCGGGGCCCATGGAGATGATCTGCTTTGCGTGCTGGGCTACGGCATGCTCTACAACCACGCACCCACACGGCCCAGTGGACACGGCTGGCGCCTGCCTGAGGCAAAGAACGGCAGAGGGATACATTTTGGGCCAGCGGGGAGAAAACAAAAACACACCTTTTCCAGTGATTTGACCGCTGATTTCTGACATCTCCTTGGTTTTTTAGGAGGTGGTTCGTTTTAAGGAAGCCTCCCCACCCCCCTTCCAGTCAGGTGAGCATTGCCTTTCTCGGCCCCAGGTCCCCAGAGTACGCCAACCTCGGCTACGCCGCTCGGCCGAACGAGCCAGGGGCGGCCGAGGCAAACGGCCATGGTCTCGTCGGCCCGGTCCCAGAAGACATGTGGGGTGGATCAATATGTCATTGAGGCCCCCAGAATGACCATGGGGACAAGTTGTTTGCTCGATTTGTTGAAATCTCATTTTTTTCGTGGTTTGCTCCAATGGTCATCCAATGTAACGGACCTTTTGAGCAATCCCAATGTCTTCTTCCAGCCCCCCCCCTCCAGCCCCTCCCCCCCACAACTGCTTTTCCCATGTCCACCCAAGTACTGCCGGGCAATGTTTCAAGATATCCGGAACTTTGCATCAATGGTATGTACTGCGTGCCATGAGTCACAGGCCTTGCATACCGCCCCTGCCACCGCCCGGGATGCTGCCGACGGCGGCGTCTGCGTGCGCTTCGTGGCCTTGCGCAGCATCGAGGCCGCGGCGAAAAGGGCGTGGCAGGTCGCAGTGGGGTGGGGTGGGTGGGGTGTTTGGTTTTTGAGTTGGTGGAGGCTGTGCTCAAGGGAACTATCCATTTTGAGGGTCATGCGGGGTAATGATGCAAAACCCAAATAGGTGCTTCCTCAAGCAGGAGACCACTTTGTTGGATGTTACCTGCAGGGAATCCAAGACCTACTCATTGGGTTGAACATCCAATTCTCGCTTTGGGAATGCTGGTGTGAAGTGACGTGAGTTTCCTTTTGGCGGGGCAATGAGCTTTGTTGGACCTTTATGTTTTGAGCCATGGCAACCCTGCTCAAGCATGACTTTCAAAGGATCAACTAAAAGGAGCTATGGCCTCCCAATATTTCTGGGTGGCGTGTAACGTCAGTAAAGGGCCGCCTTTGTTCATCTCCTTGGATGTTCAACCCAGGTGAAAATGTCGACCCACATTAGTCAACCCCTGCGTAAGTGCACTAAACAAAGGGACACCCTCCCTTTAATGAACTGAGATTGATGAATTTGGAGTCAACATTAGGTTGTGGCCATGGTACCGACCAAACTGCCTTCACCACATGGGCTTCCAGTGGTCCAGGCGGGCGAGGAGCTCCTGATCGACTACTCGGACCGCACAGCCGGCGGAAGCTTAGCGACCGAAGCGTGGCCGGCAGTTTCGGCCCGGACGGAAAGGCCAAGACCTGAGCTAGGTCTCAAACCTTTCAGCCTTTGTCGGATGGCTGAACCAGGGGCGTGCAGGAAGTTGAACAGGAACGATGCTTCTCTCGCGAACAAAAACAAGTAAAAATCGGCTGTTTCAGAACATGCGACCACTTTTTGGATAGCTTTTAAAGGTAGGCCTGCAGGAAACCACCTATTCGGAGGGTGCAAATTCATTTTGAGAAGTCAGGGCATGGATGAGCTCGCATGTTTGCCTGCTTTGCCCTTCAACGGCTTGCACGACGCCAGCCGGTTGCCATGTCATGCTCCAGGCGATGACCGGACTACAGTCAATACATGGGGAGAACAGGAAGATGTCACTCAGGGCCTGCTGCCAAGCATTTCCTTGGCCTATCAAAAGCACTTGGCAGGAAGTAGCCACGGATCATGACAATTCATCTCCCATAATTTGCGCAACGTGGCTCACATGGCATGGATGCATGTTGCATCATGTTGCCTTGTTCATCCAAACGCGCCTGCGCTGGAAGCTAGCAAACTTTCTTCAGGCACTCCCCGCAGGTTCTTGCTTATGTCATAGACTTACTTTGGTGATTTCTGCATCGCCTCTTGGTTGCCAGTTCACTCTGTCCATGATGAATTTATGGAGGACGTGTTTGTTTCAGGGTTCCCCCCAAACAATTGGTCTACGTTTGAATTCCCTGACGACCAGCAACAAACGACTCGCCGTCCCACTGCCTCATGGCACCGAAAAGATGCCGCTGGCTGACCTGCTGGGTCTTGGGGAGTTGCCCAAGGAGCTCATCAGCAGCTTTCTGCCGGTGAACGCGGCTCGTTTTTTTTGGCGCCCGAGAAATGGGTTTGTAAATCTTTTTGAGGGCGTCCTTTTTTGGGCGTTGCGCCCCGAAAAGATGCAACACCTGTCCACGGTGCCATGGAACCCACGAGAGGGTCCCTAAAAGAAAATGGTCCAAGCGTCTCCTTGTGGCTTCTTGTCAAAACCATCCAGAAAAAGGACCATTTTGAGAAACACAACAGATTGGGTGAAAGATGGCAAAATCAGTTTCCTTATTTTGGTTTAAGTGTCCTTACCCAGATGAAGGGAATAGTGCAATCTACTTTCAGACACCGTTGGATATGATCCACCTCTCCTTGATTTGGATGCCAAGCAAACTGCGCCATGCGCAAGAGACAGTGACACACGCAGTGAAGCTGCTTGGTTTCGGTGATTTGCTCCAGTTGCTGGCAAAGCGACACCAATGGACGGTCTCCTTAAAAGATACATGTTGCCCATTTGAAACATGGCTGTTTCCACCAAAATCGAGGGAAGCCACAATTTGCAAGGCAATGTTCAGGTGTATAATGCATCCGGATCCCTGCATGAAGGTGCCTAGTCCTTGGTTCAGATGCCGAGTTCGCGTGAGAGGCTGCTTCCTTACGGGGCTCAGGCGGGGCAGAAGGCCACGAACACGCCACTGACGACTGAGGATCTTTTCCGCGTGTCGCGGGCATCAGGCGCAGCGCCATGAGGGGGGCAAATATCCTCAGGGGCTTCTGGAAGTCGTTTCGGTTTGGCGCCTCTTTGAAGAGTGAAGGGTATGGCTGAGGTATCCTCAAAGAACAAACTCTACCTGTTTTCTTTGGGTGTGTCTTTTGTGAGGGCACCGGTTTGTTGTTTTTTCAAAAGGGGCCCAGAAGAAAACCGCCATTTTGGCAGGTCCCCCAAAACAAGATGCGCCGCTCCACCTGGCTTCCGAACCGGAATGGGACCGAATTCGGCGGCCCAGAAGGAAAGGGCCCCATTGGCGTGGCCACAAGGTTTTGCATGGGTTCTTTAAAATGGGGTCCCCCAGAATGATGGATGAAATGTCTGCAACTACAAACATATATATATATATATATGTGTGTGTGTATGTATATATATATATGTTCTACATATAGTTCTACATTTAATACCAAAAGGGGGTCCACCATTTTGGGCATGTAGCCAAAGACAATCCACAACTCGTTATAGTCTTGGCAACGCAGCCTACCATCCAGCTTTGAAAGAGTTTTCTTCAAGGATCCCTGCATGGTAGCGCAATACTTGCACAGCAAGGCCAGGCAGAACCACCTGTCATTGAGTTTCGGAACGCTGCTTTTTTGGAAGGGTGACGTGCTAAGGGGATCTGGTCAGAACCCCATGACAGATTTGCCATGGTTGCTGAACACGCATAGCTTTCAACTGTTCTACCAAAGCCGGGCATGCGTATGTCTTGATTTGTTCATGCCCCTTCTCCACAAGGAAGCCAGAAGGGGATGCACATGTCTGACTTTTCTATCTTCCCCCCCGTGGTTGCTTGAACGGACACCAAGGGAACCCACCCATGTTTTGGACCCAGTTTGGACTCATACCATTTCACCCAGTGACCTTCCCACGCCCGAGAGCCGAGAGCATTTCGCCAGTTGCTTGCTGCAGCCTTTGCCGTGTCTCTTTGCGTTCGCTGCGGCTGCAAGCATTCGGCGCCAACGCGGCGGAGGTTGCTGGTGCTGGGGTGAGAGGGTCGGTTGGTTGGAACTTTGACCGGCTCCCCCAGGGCGAGGCCCAGGATGCATGTTAGCTGGTACGTGCGCCATGGCAGCTGTAGGCATTCCCAGTGAGCCTGATTCAACAACCCCAAGTGACCCCAGCCAAGCCAAAATAAGCCCAAAGAATACCTTTGGAACAGCAAAGCACGTTGCAACCCGTGCTCCGACTGGAGGGGCTGCCCCCAGGTTTGCTACTCCCCCTTGAGAACGTGGCGATCCTTTGCTCCGGCCTCTTTTGACTTGCATCTCATACTCGGTCTTAGTGCCAAGCGAGCCCCCTCAATGACAAAGTGGGGATGGCCCCAATTGAACAGAAGGGGGAATTTCCCACCACGGAATTATCCCAAAATCCCACTTGGAGACTTGGATGTTCAAGAAGCTTAGTAGTGCACAACCATGATTAAAAAAATAATTTCCGAACCTAAAAGTTATAAACTGCCTGGACCTTCCATTGTTACATCAACTTGTGTCACGAAGAAAAACTGCTCGGGCCAACTATGATTGCCCAATGATCCAACAAGTGCTCGTTCCAGGTGACTGTTCGCAGGGATTTGAACATGGACAGCCCAGCTTCCCCGGTGTGGCTTCACCCAAGCTTGGACCCTGACGCAGAGGCGCTGCTGCGGCTGGTGAAGCTCCGGCTGACGGACCAAGGCGCGGAGTGGCAAGGGGCAAGTGCAGTGGTTCCGGGCGGTCGCTGGGTCCTTTGGTTTGCTTTGGATCCAACACTTAACAACTTTGGTTTGGTCGGACTCCCAACTTCTTGTTTGGGAGGATTGGGGTAGGGGCCCGAATGGTTGAACCGGATGCCCTGCCACACGCCGCGAGTTTGGCTTTTGAGACATCCGAATGGGGGGAAGGGGTGTCCCACCGAAGTCATTTTGAGAACCACTCGACTGGGGTAGACTTAGGATACATTTTACATTTTACCAGCGGCTCAAAGGGAAGCAAACAATAGACTATACATGTCAAAATGCAACCACTTTTTCTGTGACCCACATGGGGTTGTGGCCATTTGGCACAGTTTGCACTGTGCCCCGTAGCGTTGGCCATGTGACCACTTCCAGGGCCTTCGGCCTTCACGTTTCGGGCAGCCGAGGAGCCGGGATTCTGCAGATCGACGCCTCCTTCTGCCGGAGCGCTACTCAATGGCCAAAAAACGGATCGTTTCTCATTTGTTTGGTGAAATGTGTGGTGGCCCCCAAAGGTGATATTTCCGGATTCCACCTTGTTGGGTCCATTTTGGGTCATGGCCCCAAAAGGTTGACCTTCCTCGCACTAGCATTTCTGGAAGGGTACCTGGAAGATCAATTTCGTCTTCAAGGGACCCTTTGCATGCCATGGCGACGTGGGAGGGAGAGTAACCTTGCATTCTGTGCGGTACGCTTAGGATACATTTGCATGTTTCCCGCAATTCAAAGTGAAGCAAACAATAAAATATTCAAACTCTATACCTGGTTGCCGCACTCGGATCATGTACAGTAGTTGAGCTTCCTTTGATCTGATGTAGCACAACAAGCACATACTCCCCCTTCCGCTAACATAGCAGTGGGAGGGCCACCGACTACCTGGAGGATAAGAATCCTTTTGAAGGGGCCCGCTGCCTGGTGCCATGATACTGGGAGTGAGGGTATATAGATATAACTACGTGCGCTTGGTTGACATTAGATGAAGCCTAGCTCCAATCATGTAAAGTAGCTTAACTTCATTTAATGTGAAACTAAAGACACGTATATTTCTTGGTGGCTCCCAGCCATCCCCTTAGCTTTTTAGCCTTTTAGTGTTTGGTGGTGGTGTCCATTTAACCCACTCAAAGTTTGTCACTTTGGGGGGGGGGATCTGAGGGCCCAGATTTTGAGATGGGTATGGGTCAAAACTAACCCAAACCGCAGGTTTTAGTCTTTGTCTCCATTTTCCAGGGCAGCCCATTTTGGGGTTACCCGATTTTTGACCCCCACCCAGATCATCTTCTGTGTCCTTGCCGAGGTCACCAACGCCACACTGCAGCAATTGCCGGTGCTGCCGGCCTTAGAGCGCCTCAACCTCGACGGGTGCCAGGACGTGGACGACGAGGCCGGGGGGAGGAAAACCGGCTGGGTGGAGAGAGAGGGGTTCCGAGATGTGGGCGCGTCGTCTTTTTTTTTTGAGGGGAAGTCGTGTGTTTTTTTTTCGGGCCTTAAAGGGAAATCAAGGGAAGGCCGTCATTTTCGGGGTTCCGTAAAACACAATCAAAGGGGCCTCGATTTTCTTTGTTGGCCGTGGTTCATCTAAGCATGCACTAGGGTTCTCAATTTGATGAGTCGGTTGTGCTCCTGTTTATGACCTTGCAGGCATGGCTAAAGTCTACTCATGGCTAAAGTCTACTTACTAAGTGGCGACCTGGGATCACTGAAGTTTTGACCTGGGATCGATTTCGGGGGGGGGGGGGGGCAGACGATTCCCACGGACCGGGCTGGGGCAAGGGTGGCTTCTTTTTTTTTTTAAGGGAAAGCCAAAGCGAAGCATCGGAGACTTTTTGAAGCATTGGTCCTATTGCTGGTGCGAGAGGCGCGGGGTGTTCGGCCAAGCTATGTGGTTCGCCACCTGGGTTATAAGCAGCCCAGTTATTTGTAGGTTATAACCCAGGCGGCTAGCCTCTTAACTTGGCCGAACACAGGAATGACTCCTATAAACCCTCTCCTATGGTTCCTTTAAGGGGACTAATTCGTGGGTTCATTCCCTCATTCCCAAGGCAAGACATGCGGACACCAGTGCACATTGCGGAAACTCGGTTTCGAGGGCGACTTTCTGGGAGGGCCGAGGATGGGATGGGTATCAACCACTTGAAGACTTTGGCGTGACATACATGCTCATTTTCCACATCCGTGCTGCAGAGGGGGGGTGGGGTGGGGCGGGAAGTCTCTTTCGCGCACGCTCTTGTTTTCTCTTGTTGGTTTGAATGGACTTGGTGCCGCAGGTTAGGGACGTGTTTTTGTTTGGCGGTTTGTCTTGAAATTCAAGCAAAGGCCGGGAGTGTGTCCTAAGAGGAGCGGGCCCACCTTTTTCGGCTGCTTTCAATCATCCCGCCCGTCCATTTTTTTCCGTTGACACACTGTGCGACGGCACAGACATGGTTGTTGTTGGACACATTTTACATTTTTGCTTATTGTGGTTTAGTGGAACATCTTCATTTAACTGCTAAAACTTATTTTTTTGCTCCCCTTCCAACGTCAACCAAGCAGAGGAAACCGGGCGACGGCACAGAAGAACCCGACGGTGAATCCTTTCCAAATAATGACGGGCGGCTTTTTGGCAGTTTCCAGGGCGTTTACCGTGCGCTTTGCCTTGCGTCATGAGACAAGTTGCCATGCCAGTCGGATAAGGATTTCCCAAAATAATGTGTGTGCTTTGTGGTTGTTTGGGTAGGTCTCGTTGCAGGTTGCCATATAGGTTGACCTTTCAGGGCGCTGGGAATGACAGATTTTCGGCACATCCGTGGTTGTTCTGATCATTGGTGCCCATGACTGAAAGGCTGCTTGACAAAAGTGATGAAGTCACAGAAGGGGCTATCTTTCACAACCACATTACCTGTAACCTTCCCGAGGTTTCTCTAGCGTAAAAGTAGATGGCTCGATTCCCTGGTTTGTGTCGGTAAGGGGATGGTTCACATGAGGCAAGCGTCACTTACTTTTCTCGTGTGGATTCCCTGTTTGGTAAGATGAAGGGGCCGGGCCGGGCCCCCGCAAATTGTCGAAACCCTCTTGAAGAGACCCAGTCGCATCATGTCCTAGCATGCCCTTTTCCCGGAAGCAGGCTTCCTGGGCCGGGGCATGTTACTCTCAGTTGCCCAAAACCTTTTGACCTTTTGGTTCCGCTTTTGGCCCATTTTTTTTGCTGGCAACCGGTGCTCGCCTTCTATTTCCAGTTTTTCCCCAAACAGTTTACTGTGAGGGGTTCTAAATTCATTTAAGGTGGCTCGCCTGTTGCCAAGCCCTAGCCTGGATGCCTGGCACAGCTCTCTGGGTGGACGGGTTCATTTGTCTCCCTGTGTCTCCCTTCATTTGTCTCCCGTTGTCTCCCCGCCTGGATGCCTGGCACGGCTCTCTGGGTGGACGCGTTCGTTTGTCTCCCTGGGTTCACTTGTCTCCCTTTGTCTCCCTTCATTTGTCTCCCGTTGTCTCCCAGCCTGGATGATCCAGTCTGGGTGGACGGGTTCATTTGTCTCCCTTTGTCATTTGTCTCCCGTTGTCTCCCAGCCTGGATGCCTGGCACGGCTCTCTGGGTGGACGGGTTCATTTGTCTCCCTTTGTCTCCCTTCATTTGTCTCCCAGCCTGGATGCCTGGCGCGGCTCGGGTTCATTTGTCTCCCTTTGTCTCCCTTCATTTGTCTCCCGTTGTCTCCCAGCCTGGATGCCTGGGTGGACAGATTCACTTGTCTCCCTTTGTCTCCCTTCATTTGTCGCCCGTTGTCTCCCAGCCTGGATCTGGCACGGCTCTCTGGGTGGACGGGTTCATGTGTCTCCCTTTGTCCCCTTCATTTGTCTCCCGTTCTCTCCCAGCCTGGATGCCTGGCACGGCTCTCTGGGTGGACGGGTTCATTTGTCTCCCTTTGTCTCCCTTGATTTCTCCCGTTGTCTCCCAGCCTGGATGCCTGTTCATTTGTCTCCCTTTGTCTCCCTTCATTTGTCTCCCGTTGTCTCCCAGCCTGGATGCCTGGCGCGGCTCTCTGGGTGGACGGGTTCATTTGTCTACCTTTGTCTCCCAGGATGTCTGGCACCCCTTTGTTTCCCTTCATTTGGCTCCTGTTGTCTCCCAGCCTGGATGTCTGTCACGGCTCTCCAGGCGGACGGATTCACTTGTCTCCCTTGGTTCCCCTTCATTTGTCTCCCATCTCTGTGGGTGGACGGATTCATTTGTTTCCCTTTGTCTCCCTTTATTTGTCTCCCGTTGTCTCCCAGCCTGGATGCCTGGCACGGCTCTCTGGGTGGACGGATTCATTTGTCTCCCGTTGTCTCCCAGCCTGGATGTGTGGCACTCACGCTCCGCGGTTTCCTTCACTTCCCGCGGTTCTGTCCTTTTGGCGGGGTCTGGTTTGCCTTCGGCTTTGGCCCTGGCTTCGGTCATTCCTTGTCTTGTGGATGTTGGGGACAGGGTCCTCCTCTGTCTGCCCTTCATCTGGACTTCGATTTCGCTTGGGCTCGTGGTGGGTCGTCTTCCTTGTCTATCGTTGGCTACACCCTGTCTGTTCGTTCAGTGCCTCGTTATCAGTTGCGGTCCCGAGCTGACGATAGCGGTGCGCTGCGGTGCGCGGCTTCAGCTACGAGAAGGCTCTGTTAACCCCCCGGTGAAACAAACGTGAATCACGCTGGAGTTAAATCCTCTATCGATTCTTCGAGGATGTTCAACGAACCTTACGCTGAGATACCCAGTGGTGCTCTTGGCACCTGGGGTTGTCCCGGCTCTCCCGGCGGACGGGTTCATTTGTCTCCCTCTCCCTCCATTTGCCTGACGGATTCATTTGTCTCCCTTTGTCTCCCTTTATTTGGCCCCGGTTGTCTCCCAGCCTGGACGCCTGTCACGGCTCTCTGGGGTGGAGGGGTTCATTTGTCTCCCTTTGTCTCCCTTCATTTGTCTCCCGTTGTCTCCCAGCCTGGATGCCTGGCACGGCTCTCTGGGTGGACGGGTTCATTTGTCACCCTTTGTCTCCCTTCATTTGTCTCCCGTTGCCTCCCAGCCTGGATGCCTGGCACGGCTCTCTGGGTGGACGGGTTCATTTGTCTCCCTTTGTCTCCCTTCATTCCCAAACAGTTTACTGTGAGGGGTTCTAAATTCATTTAAGGTGGCTCGCCTGTTGCCAAGCCCTAGCCTGGATGCCTGGCACAGCTCTCTGGGTGGACGGGTTCATTTGTCTCCCTGTGTCTCCCTTCATTTGTCTCCCGTTGTCTCCCAGCCTGGATGCCTGGCACGGCTCTCTGGGTGGACGCGTTCGTTTGTCTCCCTGGGTTCACTTGTCTCCCTTCATTTGTCTCCCGTTGTCTCCCAGCCTGGATGATCCAGTCTGGGTGGACGGGTTCATTTGTCTCCCTTTGTCATTTGTCTCCCGTTGTCTCCCAGCCTGGATGCCTGGCACGGCTCTCTGGGTGGACGGGTTCATTTGTCTCCCTTTGTCTCCCTTCATTTGTCTCCCAGCCTGGATGCCTGGCGCGGCTCGGGTTCATTTGTCTCCCTTTGTCTCCCTTCATTTGTCTCCCGTTGTCTCCCAGCCTGGATGCCTGGGTGGACAGATTCACTTGTCTCCCTTTGTCTCCCTTCATTTGTCGCCCGTTGTCTCCCAGCCTGGATCTGGCACGGCTCTCTGGGTGGACGGGTTCATGTGTCTCCCTTTGTCCCCTTCATTTGTCTCCCGTTCTCTCCCAGCCTGGATGCCTGGCACGGCTCTCTGGGTGGACGGGTTCATTTGTCTCCCTTTGTCTCCCTTGATTTCTCCCGTTGTCTCCCAGCCTGGATGCCTGCACGGCTCTCTGGGTGGACGGGTTCATTTGTCTCCCTTTGTCTCCCTTCATTTGTCTCCCGTTGTCTCCCAGCCTGGATGCCTGGCGCGGCTCTCTGGGTGGACGGGTTCATTTGTCTACCTTTGTCTCCAGGATGTCTGGCACCCCCTTTGTTTCCCTTCATTTGTCTCCCGTTGTCTCCCAGCCTGGATGCCTGGCACTGTTTTTTTGGTGGACAGATTCACTTTTCTCCCTTTGTCTCCCTTCATTTGGCTCCTGTTGTCTCCCAGCCTGGATGTCTGTCACGGCTCTCCAGGCGGACGGATTCACTTGTCTCCCTTGGTTCCCCTTCATTTGTCTCCCATCTCTGTGGGTGGACGGATTCATTTGTTTCCCTTTGTCTCCCTTTATTTGTCTCCCGTTGTCTCCCAGCCTGGATGCCTGGCACGGCTCTCTGGGTGGACGGATTCATTTGTCTCCCGTTGTCTCCCAGCCTGGATGTGTGGCACTCACGCTCCGCGGTTTCCTTCACTTCCCGCGGTTCTGTCCTTTTGGCGGGGTCTGGTTTGCCTTCGGCTTTGGCCCTGGCTTTGGTCATTCCTT